CCCCCCCCCCCCGCTTCTCCCCCTTTTGAGATAGGGTATTGCTATATAGTTCAGACTGGCCTAGAACTCTATCCAGAGAAAATGCCTTTGAACTTACGGCAATCCTCTTGCCTCTGCTTCCCAGGTGCTGGGATCACAGGTATATGCTCCACACTCAGCTCACTTATTTGCTTCTCTATTTATTTATTTATTTATTTATTTATTTGAGCCAGTGTCTGGCTGTGTGGCTCAGGCTGGCCTTGAACTTGGGGACTTAGGTGCTGTATTAGTCAGGGTTCTGTAGAGGAACAGAGAACCTATAGAGTAAATCTATATCTATCTATCTATCTATCTATCTATCTATCTATCTATCTATCTAGATATATAGCAAGACATAGGTATATCTATAGAGATATAGAATATAGATACAGATAGATAGAAGGGAGTTTGTTAGAACGGCTTACAGGCTGTGGGCCAGCTAGTCCAACAATCACTGTCTACCTAAGGAAGGTAAGAGAATCCAGTAGTTGCTCAGTTCATGAGGCTGGATGTCTCTCAGCTGGTTTTTAGTATACTTTGGAATCCTGGAGAAGTAAGCTCTTGATGTTTTTGTTTTGAGACAGGGGGTTTCTCTGTGGCTTTGGAGGCTGTCCAGGAACTCGCTCTGTAGACCAGGCTGGCCTTGAACTCATGAAGATCCACCTGCCTCTGCCTCCTGAGTGCTGGGATTGAGGGCATGTACCACCACCCCGTGTGACCCTTAAGCACACAGCTGGTGAGGCCTTTTCGGATTTGATAGTGTCAGCCACAGACTTCCTCCTTCCTCTTCCTCCCCCAACCCAACAGCCACAGTTTCCACTTCAACCACCACAGACTTCCAGGTTTTGCCTGGAAGCTAGCTTCTTTTCTGTTTTCTTTTTGACAATGTCTCGCGCTGTGTAGACACAGCTGACCTTAACATCACAGAGACTGCCTGTCTCTGCATTGTAAGTATTGAGATTAATCTTTTCTTTTTTCAGGGGGCTGAGAGGGAGGGTTGAGACAAGGTTTCCTGTATAGCTCAGGCTGGCCTTGAACTCATAATCCTGCTTCAGCCTCCCACGCTTGAGAGGTCTGTAATAATTGTCTCTCTTGGGAACTGCCAGTCTTCCCATCTCTTGGAGGAGGCACCAATGCCTCTTAGCAGTCATCATTCAGAGGCTGGTGAGAAAAGTGTGGGTTCCCGAGTGCCAGCGAGCCAACCTCACAGCAGGCTCCAAACTCCAGTGAAGTGGGTGGGGCAGTTCTCAGGAACCGAAAGACAGGGATTCAGCCTTTGTTTCTGACGATAACTGAATATTAAACAAATCACAAAGCTTCGAACCTTGGCCACCAAATCTGTAAGTTGAGAACAATCATACCCACATAATCGGGGCATACTCACATGCAGAGTCTTTTACAGTCAGGAGGCTCAGGGGTTCAGTGTCAGCTTGGCTACATAGTGAGTTTGAGGCCAGCTTGGTCTACACAGCAAGTTCTAGGACAATCAGAGTGACACGGTGAAACCCTGCCTCGAACTGACAAGCAGATCACAAAAAGCAGAGAAAGGGAAAGAGGAGAAAAGAAGAACCCATAAAGTTTAAGAGGGAGAAGTGGGGAGGCCAATAAGATCAAAGCAGCCACCAGCCAAGGCAGAAGGAACAATCCCTTTTAGCTGTTTATCCGAACACAGACAAGCATCATTTGCCATGCTGGTGCAGCAAAACCCAAGCTTGGCTATCAGCGTGTGGTTACCTACTCTTGAGTCTCCTACCCATCAGACTTGGGGCATGAAGAAAGGAAGGGAGTCTTCCAAAATAAAGGAAGAAAAGAATCAGGCCCACCTGGAGAGTTAGGAGGGCTTTCTGGATACTTGGGAGTCAGCCAGAGCAGGGTTCAGGACGGGAAAGAGGAGGGGCACTGAGCTGTGGGGCAACAAGGGCCCCGTGGAAGAGGTGATGGGTATCAGGGGAGGCTGCAGAGGGCTTGGACCCTGCTGCAGACTCTAGGTTCAGAACCTGCTACAAACTCGAGGACTCAGGACCTGATGAAGACTCCAGTGTGTTTAGATGTTGGTCTTCCTGTGGATGGGCTACCAGAGATCTTGGATGCCATACTGAAGAAAATAGCATGTTTAGATGTAAGCTAAATTACAGGGCAAGGGTCTCTGAATTGTGCTGAATGTCCCACACAGGGCATGCATGTGGATAAGATGACCTCTGGAGAATGTCCGAGCCTGAGTTTACTGAATCTGCTGTGGGCTGGGCATCAGATTCTTGTGGGCTGCTCTGTCTGTCCTGCCTGCTCTTCCTTCCTCTCCCCTTTTTCTCCGAGCTCACTTTATCTCTCCAGGGTCTCATGTATCCCAGGCTGGGCTTCAACTAATTATATAGCTCGAGGATGAATGTGAGCTTCCAACCTTCCTGTCTCCCTCTACCTTTCATATGGAGAGATCAGGCAGTATTTGTGGGTTGGTTTGTTTGTTTTGAGACAGGATCTCACTATTTATCTCAGGCTGGTGTTGAAGAAGCAATTCTTCGGCTTCCCTGGTACGGGATTATAGGTGTGTGCCATCATGGTTGGGTAAGTCTTTGGGTTATCTATCCTTCATACTGTTTCCCATACAACTGTATTAGTCAGACATGATGGCATTAACCTTCCTTTCTGCCTGTAAGTCTGAGAAGGGAGAAAACCATTTGAGCCCTGAAGCTGGAGACCAGTGTGGGCAGCCCCATCTCAAGATAAATACAAAGATGAAAATGAACCAACTCTACCAGTTCCGTTTCTTTCCTTTACAGTTTCTCTTTCTTTCTTTCTTTCTTTCTTTCTTTCTTTCTTTCTTTCTTTTTTTCCTCCCTTCCTTTTTTTGGATGGCCTAGGAGCTCACAGAGATCTGCTGGGCTCTGCCTCCAGAGTACTAGGATCAAAGGCATGTTCCACCTGTGTGTGTGTGTGTGTGTGGTGTGGTGTGTGTGTGTGCGTGTGTATATGTGTGCGTGCATGTGTCTGTGTGTGTCTGTGTGTGTCTGTGGGTGTCTGTCTGTGGGTGTCTGTCTGTGTGTGTCTGTGGGTGTCTGTGAGCATCTGTGGGCATCTGTGGGCATCTGTGGGCATCTGTGTGTGTATAAGAGGTCAGAGATTGATATTGAGTTTCTTTCCCCATCACTTTCCACCTTACTTTTAAGAACAAGTTTTCTCACTGATTCTTTAGCTCATTCATTTAGCTGGACTGGCTGGGAAGTAAACTTCAGGGATCCCCCTGTCTCAGCACCCCCAGCCCTGGTGTCATAGATATGTACATCCAGCTTTTTATGTGGATGCTGGGAATCTGAACTGGGGTCTCTATGCTTGTGTGGCAGGCACCTCACTGGCTGAACCATCTCCCCAGCCCAACCTGGCTTTCAAGTCATGATTCTCCTTCTCCATGCACCTATCTGTACATGCTGCTACAGCTGGCTCATGCTGACCATTTGGTAACTGAGCACAGGAATGTCAAATTGCTCTTCTCAGCTGCAGAACTGGCCAGGGGCAGGCTCTCTCTTCACACAGCAGGGTGCATTGCTCAGGGGTAGCCTGCATTCTCTCTCCTGCCTCTTTAGGCCCAGCTTCTCTAAGGAAGGTACTCCTAGCCGGGACTCACACTGCCATCTACTTCAGGCTACAAAAGCACTCACACTGATGACGCCACTCCAGCATGGCAACTATAGCTCCCATGAGGAGGGCATGATTACTCATAACTGAAAAAAATGTTATCAAAAGAAGTGGAGTTGCTTGTCAAAGGTCAGAGCCTGGTGGCAGAACTCTTCAGACTTACATCTTCTGACTCTGCGTCCAGTGCTCAGCCTTAAGTTAGGCAGCTGATGCAGCCAGCCTCGACCTCCACGAACTTCACAGGCCAGAGCTGGCTCTTGGCTGCTGCCTAGGAAAATGCTCTTCTGGGGAGCTGAGAGAGAGAGAGAGAGAGAGAGAGAGAGAGAGAGAGAGAGAGAGAGAGGGCGTTACACAGAGAAGTAAGGCGTTAGCATCGATTTCCTTTTGTTGAGCAATGGTTTCCGCCATCTGGACAGGTGACGTCAGCTGTCTGGATTTCAGCCAGGGTTCTGTGGTTTAGGAGCCCAGGAAACAGACTTCCGGCTAGCAGGGCTCTGACCTGGAGGGAAAGCCTCTCAACTTGCAAAGACAGGAATCACACTCGAGGGAAGGTTTCACTGCAGGTTCAGTGGCCAAGGGGAACTGGGGGTGGGTGGGTGTTCTGCGTGAGGGGGCAGGACCTTCAGCAAGGGAGGAGCATTTCTTCATCGCAGAAGACTTTTGTGGCTAATAGACAAGTAAATTGGGAGTGGACGGGAGGAAAGGTAAGCAAAGCCAGGGTCGCCTGGAAAAAGACACACACGCACTGAAGGTAAACACAGGCTGAGAATAGAAAACTGATCCCCACCCTGGTAAGCTTTGCAGGAACACCAAATCCTAACAGACTGAGCTGGGCTCCTGAATAACTTTACCTTTGGAATTTCAAAAGTGCAGCTCTTAGACACTAAGCAATGAATCCATTAATTAAGCAGAAAGCTTAGCTATGCTCACTCCCCACTTTGGTCTTCAAGCTGGTCCCCAGGTCTGGTTCCTGAACGGGGTTACTCACCCTGGCCCTTGCTCTAATTTCATCTCCTTTGGTCCTCACGGTGATGGTGGGAGGGAAGAAACATGCTTTTATCTAGTTACTTTTTTTCTTTCTTTCTTGAGACAAAGAGTTACTCTGTAGCCCAAGCTAGCCTCAGGCTCACAACAAAGCTCCATCCTGCCTCCAGCCTATGTTTTCTTAATGCAGTAAGCACCGGTAAGTGTAAGTGACATTACAGCTGTCCTCATGGAGTGCAACCCTCAGCAGACCCACCCCACTTTTGCGCTATTACAGCTCCTCACCCAGGACCCTGAACATGCTTGCACAGAGCTCTACCATTGAACGACATCCACGCTCCCTTTTTTTAAAACTTAAAAGTTATTTTATTTTATGTGTATGGGTGCCTTGCCTGCATATATGTGTGTATTCACTGTATGTGTACCTGAGGACCAGGGAGGTCAGAGAGGGTCTCAGATCCCCCAGTGTTACAGATGGTTGTGAGCTGCCTAGAGTTTGCTGGAATTGAACTCTGATCCTTTAGAAGAGTAGCCAGTGTTCATAATCATTAAGCCACCTCTCCAACCTTGGACTTGAAGAGCCTCCTGCCTCAACCTCCCTGGTGCTGGGACAATTGCCATATGTCACTGTGACAAACAATTTGCAATTTGCTCTTTGTTTGTATTTTTTTGAAGATTTTTTTTAAAATTTATGTGTATGTATGTGTCTCTCTGTGTATATGTCCACATGTGTGCAGGTGACAGAAGAGGCCATTGGATCCTCTGGAGCTGCAGATCATTGTAAGCTGTCCAGTGTGGATGCTGGGAAATGAACTCAGGTCCCCTGAAGAGCAGCAGGAACTGTTAACTATTGAGCCATCTTTCCAGTCCCTAGTTTGCCTTTTAGAGGGTAAATGAAAATTTAACAATATTCACAGAACAGTGTAGCCATTGCCACAGTTGATTTTAGAACATTTTTATTATCCACAAAAGACCATATGCAGAGCTGAGTGTGGTGGCCCATGGCTGCAGTCCCAGAACTTGGGAAGCTGAGGCAGGGGGATTGTTGTGAGTTGGAGGCCAGTCTGAACTACATAAACAAGAAGCCCTGTATTTATACAGAGTCACAGGCAGTCTTCACAAGTCTTTTCCTCTCTAGTTCTAGGCTGCTACAGATCTGTGTATTCAGGGTGTTTCAGGGATCATCCATGCTAAGAGTGTGCACCCCCCCCCCCCCCCCCCGGCCCTGCCACTTCTTCATGTTTCCCTTCTGGCCATTTGTTTGGATGATGGTTCATTTTCACGGTTGGCTTGACTGGGTTACAATGATCATGGGAACACACCTCTGAGTGTGACAATGACGGTGTTTCCAGGAAGGGCTCCATGAGGAGGGAAACACCCTGAAAGTGAACCGTCCACATGCTGGCTCTGGATTGAAAGAAGAGTAAATTGGGCAGAGCCTCCTGACTACAGACAGACACAATGTGACCAACTGCCTCATGCCCCTGCCACTTTGATGGACTGAATGACATCCACATTTTAGCTACCATGTTAAGAACGCTGCTCTGGGAATTCTTACACACTTTGAGTGAAATGTTTGTTTCTCTTGGGAGGGGAAGTGACATTTCTACGTCATCTAGGGCACGTGGTAATTCCAAGTCCAGCTTTTTGAGGAAATACCGGCTTTTAGAGTTCACTACATAATATTCCCACCAGCAAAATGGAATGTCCCCCCTTTCCCCACTCCCTGGTCTCAGAACGTAGCCCATGCTGGACTGTAACTTGTGATCATCCCTACCTCAGTCTCCAAAGTAGCCCCATGGTAGACACCAGCATAATGCTCAGCTTGTCCATTTGCAAACTGAAGTACTTGAGCCAGGTGACACACACCTGTAATCTCAGCGCTGGGAGGTAGAGGCAGGAGGATGAGAAGTCCGAAGACAGACTTAGCTACATAGCAAGCGGGAGGCTAGCCTGGGCTACCTGAGACCCAGTCTCAAAAACAAACAAGCAAGCAAGCAATAAATAGATAAATAGAGGTATTCGTATTTTTTGTTGAATCGCAAGGATTCTTTTGTTTGTTTGTTTTTTGTTTTGTTTTGTTTTTTTTTGAGACAAGTTTCTCTGTGTAGCTTTGGAGCCTATCCTGGCACTCTCTCTGGAGACCAGGCTGGCTTTGAACTCACAGAGATCCACCTGCCTCTGCCTCCCGAGTGCTGGTATTAAAGGTGTGAGCCACCAACGCCAGGCTTGCAAGGATTCTTTCCTCCCTTCTTTCTCCCTTTATTATTTAATGTCTGAGTAGTTTTGTTTGTTTGTTTGTTTTTGTTGTAGTTGTTGCCTGTGAGTATGTGCCAGCATCACATGGATTCAGTGCCCAGAAGAGGGCTGGAGTTACATTTGGGTGTTAGCAGCCGTGTGGGTGCCGGGAACCAAATCTAGGTCTTCTGCAAAAGTGGCAAGTGCTTTTGACTGCTGTAGGGTTTTGTCTGTGGTGTGACATAGGGTTAGTGCCTTTCCTTCACATGTGCGGGTCCCATTGTCTCAGCATTAATACACTTGGTTTTTTTGTTTGTTTGTTTCTATAATTTTCTTTCAAGACAGACTATTGCACTTTATGTAGCCTAGAACTCGCAGTGTAGCCACTCGCAGACTGGCCTCAAGTTTGCAGTAGTCCTTCTGCTTCTGCCTCTTAAATGCTGCGATTGCAGCTGCAAGCTAACTCTTAAGGATCATAACGTAACAAAAAGGGTCACCCTTGTTTTTTCTAACCGTTGCCCGCCCCTCCGCCCCCCCTCCCCCCAGTTGCTCAGTGTTACACACATGAACCATGCTCAGGAATACAGTGACTGAACCAACACAGGCGTGTTGGAGGCTCAGCGAAGTAAAACATCTGTGTGGGTCAGGCTTCTGGGAAGTGTCACATATGACCCAAATGATTCTTTCTCTGGAGATCAGGTCTCACATAGCACAGGCTGGCCTCCAACTCCTTATGTAGCCGAAGGTCACTTGAACTCCTGATCCTCCTGCCTCTGCCTCCCAGGTGCTGGCATTACAGACGTGGGCGGCCATGCCCACTTTGTGTGCTACCGGGGCTTCCTGCATTCGAATTGTGCTGATTGCACACTCTACTTACTGAGCCCCGGCCCCAGTCCTCATTCATTTGATTTAAAGCTCTTTCACACCTAAGTTTCTGATGCTTTCTTAGGCCACCCAAAACCCTTTGCCACAAGACTCCAGATCTCCCCGAAACTCTGTCTTCCGTCTCTTGATGTATC